CTATGCAAAAAGCCAAGCTCAGGGAAGACCTGTTCCCCCTCCTTATTCCCCATTCCTGTTCTTCCTTTGTTCTACCCCTTTCCCATCCACCACTCATCAGTGACCAAACCTGTTCTTTCCTGGTTTACCCCTCCTGTTACCCATTCCTTTTTAATATCTTGAACCAAGCCCAGTTCATGGCAGAATGTCAGTGAATGTTTGTCATTAAACTGTTTTCTGTGGTGAACCCTGACTCCTGAGGTTCATTCTAAGTCTGCAGTCTCTCCTTTACATAATGAAACTGGCTACTTCATCTCATGACACTCAACAAAAGGCTTTAAAATCACCACTTTCCTTAACTGGGTTGGCTCTGAGATGGAATCAAGCAGCCACACAGGAAAGTATTAGCTAATAATAATGAAGACTATTACTCTTCCCGGACATGAAGAGCCACCAGTAACTCAAACTCAGGTGATGGAAATTCTTTGAAAGCATTTTCACATTTTGGCTATTTTTTTTTTTAAACACAGCATCTCAAAGCAACTTGGCAGCATAAGAAATTATGTTTAAGTCTGTGGAAAACTACAAGATTAAAGGGAATAAGAGTTGCATAAACAATTGCAAGAAAAATAATTACTAGTAAAAGTTGCAGGGTTTTTTTTCTCCCTGTCATACAATAACATCTTTACTCTTCCAGTTATCCCTTTTCTCTGAATCAGTACTTGATTTTCCAATGAATGGGGAAGGAAGCCACCAGATGAGTCAGTAAATTTAAAAACAGTCTTAAACGTCTAGTAAGGAAAGGAAAGAGTTTTGCAAATGCACATTTATGGCTAAGGAAGAAACTGGCATTTGGTGTTAGGCATTCACTTTTACATCTGAACATCGGGATCAACATAAAAAAATATAAAACTTTCGGATGGGGTAATGTGGATAGGAAAGTCACATGCCATAAGACATGTCCAAGAGGATAATTAAGTGTTTTATACATTCTGCGAGTAAGCAGGCTTTTCCATACCTAAAGTAAAACCAGCCCAGTTCCCTGAAACCTTGCTGTAAAGTGATAATTAGACCATCTACCCATGGTGAGGCTGCAGATGGGTAGGATTATGGGTTGGATTATAGACAAGGTTATGGGCAACCCCAGAATCAACAAGTTTCACTTAGAGAGATCAGGATTACAGTCTAGGTGGATCCAGAGACTTCTGTAACATATCAGGGGCATGGGCTTCCAAATCAAGACAGATCCAAGGCTGAATCCTGGCCAGGCCAATGACTACGTATCATTGGGTTGAAAACCTCTGTTAACCTTGCTTTCTTCATCTCTATAATGGGCACAGTAATACCAACTTATAGGTGCGGAGAGCATTAAATCCAGTGTGAAGCACTTAGCAAGTGCCCAGCACAAAACAAGTGCCCAGCTCAGTGGGTAAGTAAAGCCTCGTGAAAGAGAGTAAGGAATCCGGAAACTGCCACCAGCACTGGAATGCTGGTGCTGTCACTTATCCACCATGTGCCCTTGGAAAAGTCACTTTACCCTCAGAGCTATTGAAGAGGGAGCAGTAATTCAGAATGGGAGGAACAGCCAATAATAACCAGCTCTGAGACGGGGATGATGACAAACTGAGTAGTAGCACAGATCAAATGAATTATTATGAACAGAGCAGAGGTAGAACAGGGCCAAGCTCACTGCACTCTGTAAGAATGAGTGATTATTATTATTAATGATGATTATTCAATCAGCCCACCAGAGAAATAAGGAGGGGGAGTGCATGGTGGTAAAAGTAAACTATTACACAGAGTACCAGGCCTGGTACAGGGTGTTGGAAAGAGCTGTTTTGGAAACTTACATCAAGAGCTGAAGAGTGTACACAGGCTTACCCCGTTCTGTAAATGCTGTGTCAAGTTGTTTAACCCATAGCAGTAAACAGCCAAGCCAAAGTCAAGAGGACAAGTGCTAACACACTCATCTGGGATGTCGCATAGCAATTTGGCCTCGGGGAACAACAACAAAACCCTTGCTCCTGTGCTTCGCAAACCATACCCTGCAGTCAGCCTGCTTCAAAATACCTGGTTCTCCAGAGATAGAGAACAAATCTTTAAGGTAAATAAGACACTACCATCTACAGCGCTGGGGTGCTCGATCTTTCCTCTTCATCTGTTCATTTTCTGGCATATTTATTTAAATTGCTCATCTTCTATAAATGCTGCATTTCAACTCATGAAAAAAATCAATAGATTTGGGCTGTTCTGTCCTTACTTCTAAACATGCTAAGAAATTGCCATCTCTCATTGTACTGACACTGTGTTAGGTGGAGAAATTGCTATTGGTACCTTACTCCACTTAAACTCACCAAGAAAACTATGTGTTTCATGAACTTTCCAGGACGTTTCTTTAGCCAAGGCTTTCTCTCTTGTCCTTTCTTCCAAGGGAAACAGGTAGTTATGAAGAAGGGCAGTGACACCTCAGGTTTTTCTAGAGGGAAATGACTATAGGCCTACATACTCTTAGCCTCAATTCCAAACTCCAGAATGCTAGGAAAATAGAAGGTTACCTTATAACTTCTATGGAAACAAGACTTAACCTGAAGTGACACAAGCCCCTAAATTTAAAAAATGTATCTAATTCAGTTTGAACATCACATACAGATTTCAGTATGCTGCTTGAGATCACACTGGGGGTGCCATGTGGTACACGCAAGGTTTTATTCTCCTCAAGGCAGTATTATTCTCCTAAACTCCGAAATTTCTCAATTCCAAAATAGGTCAGACCCCAAGTCCTTTAGATATACAACTGTCAACTTATAAGAGAGTTACTGATGCTGTAATGTTCCAGACACAGCTTTGTGAATATAGTCAGTGAGAAAAATAATTCTAGCATTTTTGTTTGTTTGTTTTTGAGTCGGAGTCTTGCTCTGTCTCCCATGCTGCAATGCAATGGTGTAATCTTGGCTCACTGCAACCTCCACCTCCCGAGTTCAGGAGATTCTTCTGCCTCAGCCTCCCGAATAGCTGGGAGGCGTGTGCCACCACACACGGCTGATTTTGTATTTTTAGTACAGACAGGGTCTCCCCATATTCTCACACTCCTGACCTCAAGTGATCAGCCTGCCTCAGCCTCCCACAGTGCTGGGATTACAGGCATGAGCCACAATGCCATGCCAATTCTAGCATGTTCTTTAAACTGCCTTCTTTAAAAACCAGAACTGGGACTGAATCTTTACACTGCCAATCTCATGATTTAAAATGGACAATAATCACTAATAATCACTCAGACACTTCACCCTTCCTTCCCTCAAGTGGCTGCTCCATAACTTAGTGTATGAGGTTTTACAGACGATACCCAGTGGAGAAGGCCACTTACCAGCAGACAGGTGAGGTTACCAAGAACATGCACCACCCCGTCATGTGGGCGCCTGCTCCTGGCAACGACTTTTTTTGGAAGCGCAGCCTGCTGAGCACTCCATGAGAACTGGGTTTAAATTTCTGCTTCATTACCTAGCAAGGTGCATGGTATTATGGACAGGCTGATATCCTCTGTGGGGTTCTGTTTCCTGTGTGCAAACTGGGGAGAATATCACCTATTATTCAGGACTGCTGGAATGAAATGAAGTGAAAGCATGTACCGAATCCACAGGAATCAAGGTTAGCTTCTTTCCACAGCCTCTTTCCCTTTCCACACCCTCTCCTCCTCTGGCCAAGACATTGTCTGGAGGCAGGCTGTAAGTAGAGAGCTCAGTGCTTTCTTCTACATGGACGAGCTCCTGCATGTGTGCTAGTGGTGCCTGTTTGTGTATTGCAAAGTCGAGGGAAATGGATTCCTATCAAGCTCCTTGAACACAACTGGAAATCTGAACCTCCAAGGAAAATAGGTGTTCAGTAGGGCAAGGGGTCTACAAGGAGACCCCTGTGCAGGCCCCAGGAGAACTGGGAGCAGAGGTATCATTTAAGGACACCCAGTTGCTCATAAGGGTGTAGCCTTGTTATTCTAGATCTGGCTGACAATCCAACGTAGGAAATGCTTTAACCTTTCTTAAATCAGAAGTTCTCACCCCAGCTACACAGACAGCCAGGCCCACCCCTGAGGTTCACTTAGTGTGGCAATTCTCACAGGTCTCCCTGTGATTTCAGTATGGAAGCCTAAGTTGCGAACTACTGCCCAGAAACTGTTGTCCAGGAGTACAAAGACTTGTAGGTACAAAAACCTGCCTACTTTGTCTACTCTGGTAGTCCAGCCTCGGGGAAAGGGTGGCTGGCAGCTGTGTCTATCATCAGAAAACCAAGGGGCCAGAAAAAAAATTACAGCTGGGCGCAGTGGCTCATGCCTGTAATCCAGTACTTTGGGAGGCCTAGCCGGGTGGACCACCTGAAGTTAGGAGTTCAAGACCAGCCTGGCCAACACGGTGAAACCCCTTCTCTACTAAAAATACAAAAATTAGCCAGGTGTGTTGGCATGTGCCTGTAGTCCCAGCTACTCGGGAGGCTGACGAAGGAGAATCACTTGAACCCAGGAGGCGGAGGTTGCAGTGAGCCATGATTGTACCACTGTACTCCAGCCTGGGCAACAGTGTGAGATTCCGTCTCAAAAAAGAAAGAAAAGAAAAGAAAGAAAAGAAAGAAAAGAAAAGAAAAGAAAGAAAACCAAGGGGCCACAGGAGACTGCTCCTGCACTACACAAGGCCCTGTCATCCAGGAAGGAGTCACGCTGGCTAAACCCACGCACCTGGGCAGGTGGAGGTATCTCTAACTGTGCAGACAGACAGGGCACCAGCCCTGGGTGTGGGGTGGGGAGCAGGGTGGGCTCTTCGGAACTGGTCAGGGAAGAGGACCTCTAGGGGCTCTATTTCTCCTCTGTCTGAGAACAGAGCCCCCTCCTCCCTGATTGGGAAGGGAAAAATACACAGAACAGGGCCCCAAGTAGCCCAAGAGTTATCAGAATCATATTATAGAGAACAAACGTTAATGTTTAACCTAAAGGGGTTTTTGGGAAACATGCTCAAGAGTTGCCAGTATCGTCCCACCTGGGGCTTTCCCATTCCTGGTCATCCTTGTCTTTCTCTTCTTTGGTGTCTCCAGTATGTGGGTGCTTCTGCACAATTCTCATTCCACCAGCTTTCACTGAAATGAAACAGAGAGAGTGGGATTAATGTGGAAACGGGGCTGCCTGTGGATCAGGGAGAGCTGCAAAGGTTCTGGTTGCCCAATGGCCACAAGTTACTCTGGAGAATCTGGCAGTGACAATGATTAACTCAGGAAGGTCAGAGTTGTCAGGGGAAATTCAATATGATCCAGCACTCACGCAATCTCTTACTAAAGAGCCACTCAGAAACTTTCCAAGGCCCTTGTTTTTTCTATTTGTTCACTTTTCACGTATTTTGTAAAAGCAGCAGCATAACCGGGGCACAAACTATATAACCAAGAGAGTGGCTGCTGCTTTCGGTTCTCCACACTGTCTTGACACAAGGGCTCACTTCAACCCTCTTCTGTGAAATTCACTTTCCCAAATATCGAAGATGCTTTTGATGGGGTGATATGGTGATGGGTGGCATGGGACAGCTCCTGTGTCTTCAAGGAGCCCAGGGAAGTGGCAACGAAGACTTCTGCAGCTTTGCCCAAACTATGCTGTGAAACCTTACCAGGGGCAGATGTTAACTTAGTTTTAAAAACAGCTTTATTAATATGTAATTCATGTAGAATATAATTCAGTCACTTAAACTGTATAATTTGATGGTTTTGAGGGCATTCAGAATTGTACAACTATTGCCATAATCAATTTTAGGATATTTTTTATCACCCCAAACAGAAACCCCACACACATGAACTGTCACCCTCCATACCAGCCCTCCCAGCTGCTTGCAGCCAGCCACATGGACTTGCTTATTCCGGACATTTGATGGAAGTGGAATTATAAAATATGTGGCCTTTGGTGACTGGCTCCTTGTCCTTAGTGTGTTTTCAGGGTTCCTCCATGTTGTAGCACATGTAAGTATCTCATTCCTCTTACTGCCAAATAATATTCCATTGCATGAATAATTCACATCCTATCTCTCCATTCATCAGTTAGACATTTGCATTGTTTCCACTTTTTTGGCTATTAGGAACAATGCAGCTATGGAGAACTTATACATAAGTTTTTGTAAGGACGTATGTTTTCATTTCCTCGAGTATATACCGAGAATTGGAACTGCTAGGCCACATGGTAACTCTGAGTTTGTCCTTCTGAAGAACCACCAAACTATCTTCCAAACCCTCTGCACTATTTCACGTTCCCACCAGCATGTGGGTTCCCGTTCTCCACATGTTCCCGACACTTACTACTGTGCGTCTTTTTAATGACAGCCATCCCAGTGGGTGTGAAGTAGTTTCTTACTGCGGTTTGATTTGCAGTTCCCTCACGGCTAATATGTTAAAACTGTATTGTAAGGGGTCAGGTGATTTAGAATCTAACAAGATGCTGGGAAATACCAGGTTGAACAACATTAAAAAGGTTTCCCTAAGAGAGACCTTCTTGGCCTTAGCGTGCCACCCTGCATGGGAAGACTTCTGAGAGGCATAGCGCATGCCAGCTCTCCCCAGCCTATCTGACTGTAGAACTTTTTTTGAGGCGGGGGGGCTATAATACCAGTTATTCTCCATCAGGACTACAGTGCTCCATGGAATGGAGTTTAGAAATGCTGGCTGGTCCTAAATCCAAAAAGCCAGCCTCGCGTGGTAGTCACCAGCACGTGTTTTGGGATCAGCACGTTCCTCTACGCCTTCAGCTATGTGGCCTCCAACTAGTTACACATATTCTCAAAGATTCCCTGCAGAAAGGGGATAGACCTCCACAGACTGAGCTGTTAAGAGGAGAGAGGTGTTCCGGAGAGCGGAGTGCTGGCTAGAAAGCAGAGCTGTTTTCCTTGCAGTCATTGGTCCTTCAGGCTCCGGCTGTAGGCCTTATCCAGCTTCCCCCTTAGTGTCTCTGCCACAAGCTGGCTAACATGACACAGTCAACTTGCCACGCCATGTCCTCTGGCGTTGTAAATTTGGGTGCATCCTGCTGAGTCACAAAAGTCCAGGCCAAGTTTCTTTATGAGGCTGATGAATGGTAAGGAGAATGGGAGAGGCAGCCTGGGGCTGACGTGCTTCAGGTTTATTGGTCTTCAACTTCCCTGGGAGACCTTGCCAGCAGCAGCCCCTAACTGGAGGAGATAGTGACGTCTGCTCCCAGGACCAGCAATGCCTCTGCAGCCGGCAGTTAGAAAATGGCAAAAGAGAGCACAGAAAATGAAGGACTGTGTTTAAACGTTCTTCTGCTGACCTGGGTTTGCAACTTAAATCTCCCTGCTGCCCACACAACTTCTCAATGGAGGGGACATTCTACTTGGGGAAGAGACAAACAGAATCCCGTTCAGTAATCCTCTCAAAAATCTGCTCTCTATCCCATCAATTGATTTCTAATCATTTTATTTTTCATTTGTAGAGCATACATTTTTTTGTCTCAAATTCACCAGGTCTGTATTTGATGGGGTCTACTGTTTCCTTGTAATTTCAATTCCTTTACATATTTAATCATTTTAGGTGTACTTGCCTTATAGTTGTATATCCAATTATTTGATTTTCTGAAGTCCTCTGGAGTCTTTTTTTTTTTTTTGAAACGGAGTTTCGCTCTTGTCACCCAGGCTGGAGTGCAATGGCGCGATCTCGGCTCACCACAACCTCTGCCTCCCAGGCTCAGGCAATTCTCCTGCCTCAGCCTCCTGAGCAGCTGGGACTACAGGCACGTGCCACCATGCCCAGCTTAATTTTTTGTATTTTTAATAGAGATGGGGTTTCGCCATGTTGACCAGGATGGTCTCGATCTCTTGACCTCGTGATCCACCCGCCTCGGCCTCCCAAAGTGCTGGGATTACAGGCTTGAGCCACCGGGCCCGGCCCCTCTGGAGTCTAATCCTGCTGTTTGTTTTTGTCTGTGGATTCTTGCTCCTATCCTGGGAGATTGTGGATGAGGACTCTGTCTTCACTGGGCTTTACCAGTAAGGATCTTATGGGGCCTGTGATGCGGACAGCAACCCTCTGGGGAGATGTTGCCCACATGTTTCTGTCAGGCCTGGAGAAGAGGTGCCTGAAAATCCTTTTCAAGGCAGATTTCTCAGAAGACAAATTGCCAGACAGTGCAAATATGAACTGAACTCTTGTAAATGCAGGCCTTCGTTTACAAATTCTCAAGGAGACTTCGGTCTCCATTTGGAGCCCAGGCTGACACAGCCCCCCTTCCTGGCCCTCCCAGGACCATTGGGCAGGTTTCCCTCTTCCACCCTTTCCCCAGGGGCGTGGCCTCTAAGCATCCAGCCTTCATCTCTCCCCACCTCCTCTGGGCCCACCTCTTGTGCTAAAGGTCTGAATTTGAGTTCCTTCTGTTTTGGGTTTCCAGGAATTCCTTTCACTTCGAGGTCCATTGTTTTTTTTTTAAAGCAAAAGGCAAAGACAAAACAGAGAAGTCCCACCATTTGCAGGCAGTTTTTAAATCTAAGATTTCCCAGCCTACGTAGTTGGCCTCCCAGTCAGAAATGGAGACTGAAAATACAATTATATAAACCTTAGGGTCATTTTCCACTCTCTTGAAACACTGAGAGTTATGAATGTTTTTGGCCCAAGGAAGAGCCTAGAAGAACTGTCTCACTAAATGTGTTTTAAAAATTAATTTCCCTCCCCCCTCCATCCTGCCTCTTTTCCATGCTCATCAGAAACTGATGAAAGATGCTATCATGGACTGTACAGTGTCCCCCAAAATTCACAGGTTGAAGTCCTAATCGACATACCCTTAAATTGTAACTGTATTTGGAGAGAGGGACTTCAAACGATAATTAAGGTAAAATGAGGAAATTGGGGTAGGGCCCTAATATAAGAGAAATGGTGTCTAAGAGGAGACAGTGGGGATGTGCACACAAAGACATGGCCTGCGAGGAAACAGCAAGAAAGCACCGTCTGCCGGCCCAGGAGAGAGGCCTCAGGAGGGAGCGGAGCTGCAGCGCCTTGACCTTGGACTTCAGCCTCCCAAACTGGGAGAAATCAATGTCTGTGGTTTAAGCCACCCAATCTGTGCTATTTTGGTAAGGCAGGCCAAACAAATAATACAGATGCCCATTTAAAAGTGATCTCTCAATCTTTTCAATTTGGTACACATAAAACTTTTAAACTATAGCTCACAGATGTGTTCAAAAAGTAAAAGTAAAAATAGCTGCACAAGTAACTACAAAGAAAACAGATGCTGAATGTCAAGGTGACATCTAAAGGTGACATTCAGCCTGTCCACTCCTCTGCTGAATCCAGCACACAATGTCAGAGCTGGGTCACCCAGCGTTAGCACACGCATTTAATTTAGTTTCTAAAACAATTAGCTTCGTTAATCCCTCTCAGTATGTCTGGTGATTAATGGCGCAATAAAAAGTGGCGATAATAATAATAATAACTCGAGGCTGAGGCAGATTCGTTTTGACTTGCAAAACTGACAAAAAATATGACAGCACATATTTGTTGTGATTGTTGTATCACTGTCTAGAACTCTTCATCTGTAAAACTACAAAGGCAGAATTACTTTTGCAGAAATCTTTGCAGAATTACTTGCAAATCAGTATTTTTAGGAGAAACAAAGAAACCTTAGATTTTTGTTGTGGTGGTTGTTATTCAAATGAGAGCTTCAAATTTAAAGAATGTTTAGCTTCCTCTTAGCACAAGTACTGTGCAGAGGCTAAGAACACAGACGCTGGAGCCAGAACCTTGGGTTCAAATCCCAGCTCTCCCTGTGTGTGTGTGTGCCTGTGCATAAGTGTGTGCACATGTGTGCATGTGTATGTGCTTCTGTGTGTGTGTGGGGCTGTGTCTGGGCAAGTTGCTGAAGCTCTCTGTGCCTCAGGGTCTTCCATCTGTGAAGAAAGAGTGACAACGTTCCCCTCTCTTAGGGCAGCTGAGGATTAATGAGTTAGCACACATCAAATGCCTCCAACAGGGCCTGGCACATGGGATGTGCTCAACTGTTAGCTAGTCTTATTAAATGGGGTTTTAATTTAACATTTAGTACTTAGAGAGGCCTCTAGAGTCCAAATTGCTGGTGCTTTTCCAGCTCTTCACCGTAGTTC